CTGAAAAACCTCCTGGTTTGTGTCCCTGCCTGGAGCCAGGCTGAAAAACCTCCTGGTTTGTGTCCCTGCCTGGAGCCAGGCTGAAAAACCTCCTGGTTTGTGTCGTGGGCAGGACTCAAAGTGACTCAGAGGAGAGATGAAACTGTTCTGGGGTCAAGGAAGCCAAATGCCTGGAAAGCCGGGGCAGTGAGCTCTGGCCCTTTGGTATTTTGGCTAAAGCAGAGGATCCAAGTGCCTGAGAAAACTGCATCCCATTCCCAAAGTGCCAGCAGCCTGCTTTAACCCTTCTGTGCCTGTCTTCCCTGTGGAACAGGACAAGTCTCAGCTCTTCCTGCTTTTCCCGGGGGCTGGAGGGGACACAGTCTGGTTTTCCTTCCTAACACAGGGACAGGGACCCCGTGGGTGGGGTGCCCACCCAGAGAGGGGCTCCAGCAAGGTGATTTGGGTTTGGGATCCAGCAGGAACAGCCCCACTGCGCTGTTTCATTCAGGGCTCCAGGCCGGGGAAAGCCTCAGAGCGTGAGCAGGAGCATCAGCTCTCACAGCAGGAATCCTCTGGGCAGCAGGTGCTGATGTGCAAAGGCACAGCTGATGTCCCAAGCTGGGGCTCAGACAGAGCCCAGAACACAGCGTGGTTCCCAACTGCACCGAAGTGTGGGAGAGCAGAGTCCTGCTGAGCTCATCCTCCAGGTGCTCTGGGTCTCCTTCTCCCACCTCAGGTTTTTATACTGATGAAAAATAAATGTGCTCAACCTTGGGTTTGTGACTGTGGAGGGGAGGGATGGAAGCAGCAGCCAGGAGCCAGCCCGGGATGGGAGGGGAGAGAAGAGAACTGCCAGGTGTTTGTGCTAAGGCTGTGTGAGTCAGGGACAGCTTGCTCTGTACAGGAAAGCTCCTGGTGGGTGATCCCCCAGGTGACCCTGGTGTGTCAGCAGGACCTGGTGTGTCAGCAGGACCTGGTGTGTCAGCAGCACTGCCTGGTGTGTCAGCCCTGCCTGGTGTGTCAGCATGCCTGGTGTGTCAGCACAGCCTGGTGTGTCAGCACTGCCTGGTGTGTCAGCAATGCCTGGTGTGTCAGCAGGACCTGGTGTGTCAGCAGGACCTGGTGTGTCAGCACAGCCTGGTGTGTCAGCACTGCCTGGTGTGTCAGCACTGCCTGGTGTGTCAGCAGGACCTGGTGTGTCAGCACTGCCTGGTGTGTCAGCCCTGCCTGGTGTGTCAGCACTGCCTGGTGTGTCAGCCCTGCCTGGTGTGTCAGCAGGACCTGGTGTGTCAGCACTGCCTGGTGTGTCAGCACTGCCTG